AAATAGAGAAAGCCTTGAAGCACTGTTCAGCAGTAGCTGAAACACTGGTATGTTACCAACCCTAGGAACTCCTATAGCTGTCCCAAAAGCAGGGTCTGTTACCTGGTGTTCAAGAAGCCAATCCACACACAGAGTCAAGATGTTTGCTTTAGTATCCAGTTCTGCACAGAAAAGGGAGCAGGGTTGTAATCCACAAAGCAAGCTCAGTTTCCTGAAACACAAGTGCTACTTTTATTCCCAAAAATGTGAGAAAGAACTTGTACTCTATTCTATCACTTGCACACACAATTGGTCAACTAGTCTCTCACTTCCATTTAAAGTGGCAATACTCAGGAACTTCACTGTGCATGTTCAGTGAGTGGTGGGCTTGTTGTTAGTAGGGGTCCCTCTAGCCTGTGGGTGTGAATTTTAGAATGTATTTTAGAATACATTAATGGATCATTAATGTATTGATATGGTGATTTCAATTACTCAGTGGGTTTTTCCCAGTGCTCAAGGCTGTAACCAAGATAAGCTGTGGGGAGTGCTCCTTTCCATCCCTTTTATCTGTTTTGCAGGTGTCCTGCCAGCCTGTCTCAAGGCCGGGCTGTTGACTACTTGGGGAGTGTTTTTCTCTAATTGGAATTTGGTTTGTCTGATTCTTACTGTTTCACTGTTATCTAGATCTTGTTTTTATGTTTTTTCTGCATGTCTGTTATGTTCTCTTTTATGTGTTTTTTTTTTCCCAATATGCATTTTTCCCCTCCAAATTTTACTTATTTCAATTAATAACTGACATCACTCTGAAGAAAATTAAATCTATCCCAGCCAAAACCAGTATACCTGTAAAGGTGAAAACAAGTCAGAGTGGGCAACTGGAAGCTGATGAAGTACAAAAATCCTCCTGTTATAAACAGGCATTGTATTTATATTTTCCATAAAGTTAACTAGATTTGGTATATTTCAAAATAGAATTTTGATCACTTGGTAAGTAACCAGCTGCCCATGTCCATAGTGTAGGTGTTTACATAAGAAATAATTGTTCAAGACAGCTAGTCAATGGGATCCAGAAAATTACCTCATTTTAAAGTCCACAGTTGTCTACAGTTAGGTGTATTTTCACTCTTAAGTTCCATTTGCCATATTGAAGAGGTCCTTTAAGTCTAATGGAGTATAAAATGACTCCTAAGAGCCCTCTTTCCTGGCTAGTGTGCTGGCTGGGTTGGGGGTCTGTTTGCTCTCTCTGCTTCTGATGCTTCTGGAACTGGTTTTCTCACCGGAGAACATCATTCACTGAGACAGGCTGCCTTCTCCTGCCTCCTTGAGTATATTGAGGACAGGTGTGGCTGCTCCAAGACTTTTGTGGACTGTCACTAGGATTCTGGACTTAGGCACTCCCATCTCCTGCTGCAAACAGATTGGGATTTTTCTAGTTGGGAAATAATTACCATGGTAGGCTCCATATTTATATATTTGTAAGTCACCATTATCATTATTATTATTACTACTTCAATGAACCTGTTCTAGATAGTTTTCCAACTTTCAAGTTTTCAGCCAGGATCCAGCCTTTGCAGGAGCTGCACCTTGGGGCTGGGGGCTGAGCGGATACTGAATTAGATTAAAGGATAAATATCTTCAAACTTCTGCAAAGAATAATGTCTAGTTACCTGGATGATTACACTCCCCCAGTAAAGCATGTACCTTCTGTAGTGTCAGTGTTTAATTGGAATGACTCCAGTGTAAGTGAGACTAATTTTTCTGGTAACTTATCTTCCAAACCTGGAATTCATTGCCATTCCTCATAAAATATTACAGATTTTGTGTATATACTTGAGAGTGGTCTTGCTTGATGTTTCCTGGGAAGTAGGACAAAAACCTCGCTCAATTTTCAGGCAGATGGACAACATTCTGTAAAGGCAAAGGTTTTTAATATTTTATTTTAATATTAATTTTGGTGAGTTCTCAAAACCAAACCTTTCTATACAACTTCAAAACAGAAACAGTTGACACACTTTTTCTTGTTTTATTCATTATCTCTCAGTAAGCTTGACAGCAAAGGGACCCACTGCAACTCCAGACCTTTCAAAAAACATAAAGCAAAATCCACTTTTATTCAGTCATTTTCCCTGGATATTATATAACAGACCCATTCTTGATGGTTTATAATTTTTGTTAGTTAAAATTAAAATAGATCATCCTACCTCAATAAATGTATATAAGGGAAATTTTTACCATTAAACACATAATAGAACGTTAGGATTTACCACTTATTCTCAAAATTAAATCTCCAGCAACAAAAATGCAATTATTTTTTCCCAAGCCCAAAGTTTTGATACTCTTCTCCATTGTGTTGGGTTGGTGTGGTGTGGTTTTGGTAGCAGGGGAGGGGCCCCACAGGGGTTGATTCTGTGAGAGGCTGCTGAAAGTTCCCCTAGCTCCAAAAACCCCACATCTCTGGCTAAGATGAAGCCCATTAGCAGCAGGTCCTCTGTGATTAACATATTCAAGAAGGGGAATCCAACTGCTGTAAGTCCTCAGGGCAGAGAAGAGGGGGAGATGAGAGCAATGCTGGTGAGGAAGGAGAGGAAGGAGGTTCCCAAGCAGAGGTTCCCCTGCAGGCTGTCCCCCTGCAGCCCCAGGAAGAGCACTTCGGAGCACCCTGTGAAGGACCATGGTGGAGCAGATGTGGACCTGCAGCCATGGAGGACCCTGCACCATAGGCGGTGACTGCACCCAAAGCAGGCTGTGACTCTGTGGGAAGCCTATGCTGGAGCAGTCTGTTCCTGAAGAACTGCACCTCGTGGGAGGGACTCATGTTGAAGGGGTTTGTGAAGGACTCTTTCCTATGGGAGGGACCCCACACTGGAGTAGGGGAAGACTGTGAGGAATTCTTCTCCCTGAGAAGGAAGGAGTGCCAGAAAATAACATGTGACAAACTGACTCTAAACCCCATTCCCTGTCCCCCTGGGGTGAAGGAGCTAGAGAAATGGGGAACAAAGTAATTTGGACCCAGGAAGAAGGGAGGAGTAGGGTTTTGAATCTGGTTTTTGTTTTCTTTTTGTTCAGTTTGCATCTGACTAGTGATAATTGGTGAGTGAAACTTCATTGTCCTTGTCTCAATCCACTGGCTTCTAGTTGGATTTTTCTACTCCACATCCCCCAGTGGGGGGAGGAGTAAGTGAGCAACTGCATGGTTCTTTGTTGCTGGCTGGGCCTAATCCATGATGTCTGTATTGTCATTTCCTTAAAAATCTGAAGCTTTTTACTCTGGCTGAAAACAGTATTGTCCCCTGTGTTTTAATTTAATTTCTATGAAATGCAGTTACAATTATAGAATAGAGTACATGTTGTGTGAGTAACAGTGACTCTGTCCCTCATGTTTCAATTCAGAGACTGTTTTGCTATGCAATGCTTAATGTTCAGTTGAGTAAATTTTAATTTAAATTTTTAATCAGCCTCATTGACAGTTCATCTGATGGTGAACCTCTGGTAAGGACTAGGCATAACCTAACAGCTATTGCAAATTTCATTAAGCTTTTACAACTAACAAAAAAACACAAATCAATTAATGGAGGAATTAGCACATTGAAGGGTACCTCAATAAGAACATAAACTGTCATCACAGACAGCCACTTTTCAAGCTAAGCTAGAAAAGGCAGGCTTCAGACTAATTCCAATTCTTCTGTCTCAGCAGTGAGATTCAAAATTATTTGGAATAAAAGAAGACTAATAGCATTCTTGACAAGGAAAATTATTTAACTGACACTAAACTAAAAGATAGATTTATACAAAAATTAGGATGGACAAGTGATAGATTAAGCCTGCATATAGAAAAAGAATTCGTTTTGCATCTTACTCTAGAGGAGATGAATATATAGTTTTTCTCTAATTTGGCAAGAATATGCAAGTATTCTGATGAAAAATTAAAATAAAAATTCCAAGCTAAAATACATTGTTTTAGATACTTTTTAAAGGAAACTGAAGAACATACTGTAGTCAAAGTTGACAGAATTATCATATTTTTATAACATTGCTTGAATGCATTTTTGACATCTCTTGAAATAATACAAAACAGTGAGGAAGTGCAATTGCCAAGTCTCCAAGTTTTGACTGAAGTCCTTTTGCTTTGCTGCTAGAGCAAAGGCCATGTCTCAAAGTGATTTTAAGGGACCACAGGTGATCTAGACAGTGAGCTCTATGGACCACAAGTGGAGTAGGGGGTGTATGAAGGCCTCAGCATTTCCAAATGCAAAGCCTAAACACTATGACTCTTGTTAGCCAGCATCCCATGCAGTTGTAGCTCTGCCTCCATAACAAGACTCTGAAAAGTGTTCTGTATTCACTTTATGCCTTCTTATTCCCCACCACCAAAGAAACCCTCGTGAAGGTGCAGCAGGTGACAGGCGCTGGCCAGGCTGCCCAGACCAGAGCTCTGCTCTCTCTGCTCACCAGCCTGCCGGAGGCCGCCGTAATCGGAGGTAATTGCCCGGGCTGTTATCTTCCTGCAGCCTGCGTCGTGCTTCCAAATAGCTCTAATTGAATTGCTAATTTTTTTGCCATTCCTAATACAGTGGGCTGGCCAAGGGGGAAATGACTCAGGGGAGGTGGAGGAGAGAGGGGTGGCTCTCGGCTCCCCTCCCCCTCCCGGAAGGTGCTGCTGCAGCCCATAAAGAGCGGAGAGAGCACAAGGTGGGCGTACAGACATCCACGCCCGCGCATTGTGGCCATGCAGTGAGTGCCCGCCATAGGACAAGCTGCCCCGCCACCAACAACAGGTGAAACGCTGCGAGGAAGAGACTGTCGCACCCAGCTCAAGGTACTCACCTCCCTACCTCTCAGCCTCTCTCCCAGTGGGAATCTGGGTGCCAAGCCGGTAGTCACAGCCACCCTGCCAACATCGGGAAGAAGATTCACCCCCAGTTCCAGCCTGCGGCAGGGATGCTTACATGCCCTGAAGGATCCGTAACTGGAAGGCAAAGTGATAACTCAGAGCATTTACCCTAGTACTCTTTTCTTTCCAGATGCAGAGGTGCACTAGTGTCCTGCTTCTGTCTTTAATCCTTAGTGCCACACTGTCGGAAACATTTGGACTGGTTTTCTCAGTAAGTACTTATTTCAGTGTTGGAGCTGGCAAGTACCAGTAAATCTTGCAGTGTTATTTAGGTACAGGGGTTGGACAGGATGCAGTGCTCAAAAGCATTTTGGGCAGTAAACAGGTTTTTGGAATTTTGGGCTTTGAATACTAGCTCCCTTGCAACAAATAATATGACTAAAGGGGGAAAAGTGTCTAGTTTATGGACCAAAATTGAATGCATGTCCCATCCAACTCAAAAAGCATTGTACATACGGACTTTTTAAATCAAGAGCTGTTACGTAAATCCAAACAATTAAAATAAAACATTGTGAAAAAAAACTGTGATTAAAACTGGGATTGTAAGGAGGTAATATAAAGGTGGAGTATAAAGTCAAAATTTATTACTTCAGAGAGTGATTTGCAGTTTTACATTTGGTGTGAAAGCTTCAGACCCCATGGATGTCAACAGCAAAACTTCAAGCCTTCAGAAGATGCTTCCTGCTAAGAGAATGTTCATTTGAATGCTGTTTGTTTTGTCTTCAGAAAGCACTGTGTAGTTCACGTAATAATATACTTGCATTTTTTTTAAGGCAAAGGAAAAAAGAGGCTGGACTTTGAATAGTGCCGGTTACTTACTTGGGCCACGTAAGTCAAGTGTTCCTTTTTTTGCATTATTTCAAAATGCAGTCTTTTCTTGTGAACCACTTTGCTGTAGTGTGCTACTAATGTTTCTGATTAATATAGTAATTTTGTCTAAACCTGCAAGACTGAAAAAACTCATTTGGGAGAATGTGTAGATTGTTATATGTCTGTCTATTATAGAATTGAATTCTCTTATATAATAACTGTTATTTTGTAAAGCAGACTTTATATGCAGAAGCAAATCTGGTCACTCTTTGAGCTCCTGAACTGTAGTTTTCATATGACAAATGCTCCTTCCTCTGGAAGTGTTACAAAATCTTATAGCATCTTAGCTTTCAAAAGAAGAATGGCAAAATCTTATAAATGTATTTAAGATACCACCTTTTAATCTATTTGAAAATTGTTTTGTTACCTGGCTTTATTATACTTTTCCCAATTAAAACAAAGCAAATTAAAGCAATAACATGCAAATTCATTACTTTAAATACTGATAGCTTACTGCGTGAAAAATATGTAATGTTTTTAAAATACAGGAGCACAGTGGCTTACAAATATGGAGAACCATGACGGTAAAGAATGAGAAAAGTGAAATGCAATGCTAATCTGTCTCAAATATCTGTTGTTGTACCATTATTTATTGTTAGTGTAATAATGTAATAATAAGAAACATTACCAGTGTTTCTATATGTTCAGTCTCTGTGATTCATGACAAATACTACAGGTACTTACTGTGACTCTCTTAATTCTTTTTGTTACCTTAGGGATACTTAAAAACAAACCAAAAGAACAAACAAAACAATGCATCTTAAATGTCTGGGAGTGTATTTTCCTCAAGCAGATCTAACCAAACTGGCAAAGATACTGTGGGGAAAAGCGCTATTTATCTACGACTGGATAATAGGAATCGTCATTTGTTGCAGGTTATATCGATCAGCTTTTACTGATAAAGGGGAAGAGAAGAGGTACCACGGGCATGTAAGATAGTTTTTGAAGGTTATTAATGTAAACTATCAGCAGTTTTCTTTTAAGCAAACTCATTTGCAACATTTTATTAAAATAGAGGAAAGAGAGGAAAAAAAAAACTTTCCAAATTATATGTGAATGTACAAACTTACATTTTCTTTACAGGTTTAGCATACGTAGTACAGGACTAGGTCTGTAAATTATATAAATCATAAGCACAAATTCGGGAGCAAGGTTATTTAGTGATCCATTAATTTCCTCTTTGTCATTTTGGACATCTGAAGTGCCCATCACGGTATTTTCTTTGAAGTACAAGAAAAGCAAGCAATATAGCAAAAATTGTTCTTAAGTCAATTAACTCTTCTAATTTTTAATTTATTTATCAGATGCAGTAGACAACCACAGATCTTTTGATGACAAGCATGGTTTCACTGGTAAACGTGAAATACAGCCCGATGAGGCTATTAAAGCAGGTAATGGAATTCTAAAAGTCAGTATTGTTAATGTTTTTTATATTTAGTAATTTATGTAGTGTTATTGAATTAACTGACTACCTAGATATAAGACTATTCCTGCATTTAAAAAAAAAATCCTAATAAACATGAAAAGAAGAAAAATGAAATTTGGCCACTCAGTGTGATCCTTGTATATGGTCATATTTCAAGTGTCTTGGTGCCTAGGCAAAAGTATTGTAATTATGTTGCTTTTGAAGTAAAATAGATCATACTACCTGGAATAAACCTGTTTTGATTTTTTTTTTTCTTTTCATATGTTCAAATAAGTATTTCAAATGTCACTCAAGACCTGCTCATAACACGCAAGAGTTATTTTTTTTTAGCAAAGAATGAGCCATTAATGTAAACTTTTGTTTATTTATTTATTTATTTATTTATTTTAAGTTCTGATACTCCAGAGCTGAAACTACACCTCAGAACTATATGGCATTGTTTATGTTTTAAGAGTATTCACTATAAAGAAAAAATATTCCATGTTAAGTCTCACAAATGTTCCCTATGTTTAAACAATATGGATTATCGTCACTAAAACACTGAGAATCTGATGAAAACCAGACTCAAGTCAATATATTGTTTTGAGGTTGCAAGTAATATAATCTAGTAAATTGCAATGCAGCCTTGGTCTGCATTTGCCATTCAAATCTGGGCATCTACAAAAGATGTCCAGGCTGCCTTTATGAAGATAAGCTGTGAACTGGGATGAATCTCATTTTCAGACTGTCAAAGAATGATCTGTTCCTCACTGCAAACTAAGAAAGCAGTATTTACTTGACTACTAGTGCATTCATCACTGCACTAATGGGAAAAGACAATCCCATCTGGAAAACTCTCAGAGGCTATTGTAAGTCGCCCCAGCACTATGCAAATGTAGCTAAGACTAAGTAAATTCATAAAGCAATGTGCTTAATCTGAAGTCACCAACCCAGTTACTTTGTAAACAGAAGAGTAACAATTATATAATTGCTAGTTCTCAGATGCCTGCCAGTTTAGTTCTGGTACATAGTTACATAGTTTTGCATGTGTGGTACTTTTTCTGGTTGTGGGTTTGGTTTGGCTTGGTTGGTTGTTTTGTTTGGGGGAAGCAAGAACCTCCTTCCTCTAACACCGGTGTAAAAATAGCATTTTGCCAGTCAGAAACAATGCAAAACAAAGATATTTATAATCTAAGAATGCAACATGTTGCCATTTGTGAGGACAGGACCATCTCCTTTGCAGGAGTATGATCTTCAGGAACTATGAAACACTTTTGCCAGGTATTGCTGCACCTCCATGACTACAAGTAAACCCAACCAAACTAGTTGGATGTGACCTGAAAATTGTATAACTGCCTCCATTATGAACCTCATTTTAGATGCTTTCCTCTCATCAAAAGTATTTTTTGAAGCTGAAGTTTATTATTGAATTGCTATCCAAGGGACATTCTGAATATAAAAAAATGGATAAGCTAGTCAAAGTTCTTATTTTAATTGAAATATTTTTTGTTGGTTTTTGTGTTTTGTTTTGGGTTTTTTTTAGATAAATTTGTGAAAGTATCTTAAAATGTATATATACCCATTATTGCTTTAAAAGAATTCATGCAAAGGGCTACTCTCTCCCTCCTTGAAAGAATGCTGCAAACTTCACAGGCTCACCAGATAACCTAGAAGAATTTGTATGCTGTATAACTAAGTCCTGGGGTGGGAACAGAACAAAATAAACTACAAGCATAATTAGGAAAATTTTTAAATTCCAAGAGCATAACTGTTTCTGTACTAGAGTATGCAAGTAATCGGCTATATGCAATTAAGATCAGTAGCAGTATATACATGTACACATGTAGAATATGCTCAAGTCACTAAAAATATTTATCCAATAAATCATTAATTATCACAGTGGTAATAAAATCTGGGTCAATAAACTATGAATATGATTCATCAGTCATGACAAAAATCTGTAATAGGTATGAGGGGGATAAAAATTAAATTAAGGCAATCTTCAAATAATACATATAATGTACATAATAAAAATATCTCTGTGTCAGTTTAAAGACTGGAAGACAAGACAAGATGCAGTTTTGAACTCTTAAATGCTGATTCTTTATATGTTCAGAAACCTCTGTGTCCTTCACAAATACACATCAATATTTTTACTTGTGCTACAGAGCTCAGTTTGCCTGTATGTCACTAGAGGACAAAATCTTCTCTTTCATCATGGAAAAACTCTCCCAGCATTACCTGCTGCCAAGTTAGTCTTTCAGGGACTGTATTATAAGTGATGTACTAATGGATTGTCAGTCAGACACTGGTACCCTTCTGTTGTGTATGCAGAGAACTAAAAAAAATCCTAGGGAAAAAACCTACCATTCTTGCTCTAATAAAGAACAATTCTCCATCCTGTTGATAAAAATTATTTTTTTTAAACACAGAAAACTTCTCAACCTCCCAAAGTGTAAGAACAAGCTCCCAGGGAGCTTGATAGATTGGGCCATTTAAAAAACATCAAAAAGCCTACTACCACAATTAGTAAATTAGATTTACATATTTACATATGCAAAATCAAACACCTTTCTGAGCTTTTAGTAAAGTCTCAGGTCGAGATTTTGGACTACTGTATCACTTGAGTGGCTTACTGGGAACTAAGTCAGGCTACATAAAGAATTTTAACTGTTTTTTAAAGCTGAGGAATTTGTTTATTTACTTTTCCCTACAATCTCAGGCTAGTGGACATAAAGGCAAGAATTCACAACTGCTACAGAACTCAGAAGACCTTAAAGGCCATGACCTTTATCAACCTGTGAAAGCAGTTCCTAGGCCGCAATAACATACAAAGCTGGGCAATTTTGATTCTGAATGTTGCAGTTACCTACCTTAAAAAGTGGCTTTGCTCTTCAAAAAAATGTTTTCCCTTAAAAAATTTAAAGGAAAAAAGAAGTTTCAGATAGCTTTTTTCTCAGAGTAATCACATATAGCCACACATAGCCACAATGTCACATGCATTGGATGTATATACTGTGTTAACATTAAGTAACTACCAACTTGTTTTATAGGGAATCTTGGAAGGACACTGGCTGATGAAAACATTGTGCGCACAGTAATTGAATTTTTGGCTTATTTACATCTCAAAGGTTAGTGAAAACCTTTATAATATTTAACATTGTCCCGTGTAAAATTTATTGAGAAGACAGGACTATCCTTGAATGTACAAGTCTGCTACTGATTCGAGTGCACAAGACTTTGTAAAGCATCTCCATTGAGGGAAGGAATTGTCAATTTCCTTTTAGTGCACTTAGGAATAGGCCTGATTTAAGAGAGTTCAGATGCCAAGATTAATATGCATACTTATGTATGTTAATTATTTTTTTTCTTTTTGCAGAGGTTGGAGCACTTGACAAACTACCAGAGGAAAAAAACCAGTCTTGAAAAGAATATATTTTATTTTGTTGTAAAGTAGATTTAGATTGAATTTTAAACAAAAGATCCAAATGAGCTGAAGATCAGAAGTAGTATTTGCATTAACCTGATAAATGGTCAGTATTCTGTCCTTTGGTTTTTGTTTGTTTGTGTTTTCTTATTTGCACTTTTTTTTCCCTCTCCTGTGATGTTATAGTGTAAAATTTGGCCTTTGTAAAATTTTTCTGTAGGTAAATAATATAATAAAAATAAAGAGCAACTACCTTGTTTCATTTTAAAATTAAATACATGCCAGCATACAATGCATCATATACAAAGCACAGGTTAAATTTTAAGATTATGCTGCATCTGTACTCTGCAAAATTACAGTAAAGTAAAGTGTAAATACTATATATTGGCTACTTTAGCTAACTGAGAAAAAATAGTGAGTTCAGACTGGTGACACAGATAGTCTATTTAGGTCACATACGTCTGTATCCTTATGCTTCATGGAAGCCTTACTTCTTACTTACTTACTTACTTACTTTCACAAACTTGAAATAAACTTGCATTAATATTAATTTTATATTTGTCTGTAATACACCAGCCCGTTGACCAAAGGATACAAATGTAACTGTTCTGCACACAAGTCCTATGTATAGGATTCATATTCCTCTATTGTCAAGAACACTGCATCCTGTTCACTCAAACATAAAAAAAAAAAAATAATAATGAGATGCTTTAGTCTGAGCCCAGCAAAGCACTTTTAATACACACTGAATCTGCCCCCCCGCCCCCGTGAGATGTGGACAAAGGCCAATTTGTGGGTCAAGACAAAGGACAGGGCGAGTTTCACTGACCATTTATGGTCTAAGGCAAAACAAACTCAACTTAGGGAAAAATTATCAATTTAATTTATCACTAATCTAATATACAGAGGACAGAGACAAAGCAGTGCATGGGAACTGGGCATGGGGTTTAGAATCCGTTCACAGTCTATTGTTTTCTGCCGTTCCTTCCTCCTTAGGAAGAAAGATCTGTCACTGTCTTCCTCTTCTTTCCCACGGGGTACTTCCCATGGGAGAGAGTCCTTCACGAACCTCTCTGTCATGAGTCCTTCCAAAAAGGTGCTATCCCTCAGGAGCAAGCTTCTCTAGCACGGGCTTCCCATAGAGTCACGGGCTGCTTGGGAAACAGTCAGCTCCCCTGGCACGGGGTCCTGCATGGCTGCAGATCCAAGTCCATGGGCTTCAGGTCCACATTTGCCTGTCCTGGTGCCTTCAGAGGATGCTCCACCATGTTCCTCCATGGGGTACAGCCTGCCATCTCTCCATGGGCTGAAGGGGAACTTCGGCTCGGGCACCTTCCCCTTCTTCCTCACCAACCTCGGGATCTTCACTCCGGCACTACTCTCACCTCTCCACCTCAGCTCTTCTTTGCTCTCGGCTCTCAGGTCTTATATCATTTCTTTCATATGTTAATCGCAGAAGTGCATCTATTGTCTTTCTACTGTCTTGGCCTCGGGCACCTGAGCTGAGGGAGCTTTTAAAACCTTCTTACTGAACCATGCCCGGGGAGCCTCCTCTGCTACCAAAACCATGCCAGAACCAAACTACCACACCAGAATGCTAGGCCCATATATAAATATCACATCAAGAATGAGGAAAGGTTTGAGAGGATAGAAAGGTTTTTCACACTGAAGTGACTTTCACTCTCTGCATAGTGCAATGAAATACCATTGTTTAAAAAATGTTGCTGTGCACTAGAGTGCACAGAGTAACAGAATTTTTGCAGAACATTATTGCATAATCTGTTTTTCACTTTTAGCATAGCAGGATACATTCTAAACGCCAAGCCAATAGTGGCTAATTCCAATGCACAATGTTATTTTGTCAATCAGTCTGTGCTATTCCTCTGGTAATTACTTTTCTTCTGATCTAATATTTGATGTTCACTTTCCAAAGTACATACTTCATCAGATCCAACAAGCTTTTGAGCAAGCCCTTCAGACAATGTTTTCCTGGTTTGTTTGGTTTTTGTTGTTTTTTATTTATTTAATTATTATTTAAAGAGTAAGAAAAAATTATACATGCTGTTAGTTCAACATTATTTGGTAAATTTATGGGCATCAAAAAATGTGAAGGAAAAAAAAAAAAGAGTAATATTTAACTTCTGTACATTAGCATAGTTCAGTAATTCCAAATTTTTATTCTCACTAGTAGTGTCTACATTTCCCATAATAAACTTGAAGCAGAGCTCACTAAAATCAAGAGGCATTACTTTCATTGTCTGCTAAGAACCAGTGTTCATTTCCAGAACTTCATAACAAGTCATCTTTATATGGCAAACCAGCTGAATCTAGGATCAAATAAAAAGACAATAATCTTAGCATCTAATTTATTTTCTGCTGAAATAGGATAAGAAATTGAGTTTAAACTTAGAAAAAATATTATTTTAATCAACTTAGCATACTGTCAGCTCATTAAAGTTGGAATAGTCTCGTCAGAATGCTAATTTGAAATTCTGACATTTGAGATTATTTGAAATACTGAAAACCCCATAGATTCCTTGGAAGCTTCATTGTCTAAGCAGGGAGGGTCACAAGTTCACATGTATTACACTGTACTGCATTGCTATATGCATATATTATTAAAACCACAAAAGATCATTAAAATCTGACTGTGAAAAGCAGTCCACATACTTTCACTTAGTAATTACTGCATTCTACCACATACTGGTAATATTCCAAATTACAGAGAGCTAAAATTTC